CCCACCCGCGGGGGTCCCGGGGCGGCCTGGCCCCTATGGGGCGGCCGGAGCCCCCGCGGGTCCCTGGGGTGGGGGCAGCCCCGGCGGCTCTGCAAGGTGCCCGAGGAGGGGGGATGAGGTGCTTGGAGGGCTCCTTGGGGTGCGCAGCCCCACGGGGCGGTTGGCACCCTAGGGTGCTCTTGGGGTGCACGTGGAGAGTGCACCTGGCCACAGGGAGCTCCTCGGGGTGCCCCGAGCCACGGGCTGCGCCCTGGAGAGCTCCTTGGGGCGCATGGCCCATGGACAGAGATGGAGGGGAGGGTGGGCATCGGCTTGCAGAGCTCCCCAGCTCCATGGGGCACCCATATGGGGCTCCTTGGGGTGCCCAGCCCCATGGGGTGGTGAGAGCCCTGAGGCACCTCAGGGTTCCCATCCTGATGGGGCTCCTCAGGCTGACCAGCCCCATGGGCATCCACGTGGGGCTCCTGGGGGTACCCATGGAGTATCAATAGCATGGAGATGCTCCTGTGGGTGCCAATCCCATAGGGTGGCCAGTGCCTTGGGGTGCTCCTCAGGGTTCCTATCCGTGTGGGGCTCCTTGGGGTACCCATGGAGTATCAATGTCACGGAGATGCTGCTGTGGGTGCCCATCCCCATGGAGTGGCCAGCGCCTTGGGGTGCTCCTGGGGGTGCCCGTCCCCATGGGGCTCCTTATGAGGCCCCACGGGGCACCCGCGCGGGGCCCGGTGCCCGGTCCGCGTGCCCCACTGACGTGCCCCTGTGCCCGCAGGCCGGCGGCTGGCGGCCCTGCTGCTGGCGGCGCTGGCGTGGGTGCCCGGCGCGGCGCCCGCCTGCCCCGCGCTCTGCACGTGCTACGTCTCGCCGCCCACCGTGAGCTGCCAGGCCAGCAACCTGTCGGCGGTGCCCGCGGGGCTGCCGCCCGGCGCCCGCCGCCTCTTCCTGCAGAACAACGTCATCGCGGCGCTGCGGGCCGGCGCCTTCGGGCCCAGCACCGTCACCCTCTGGCTCTACTCCAACAACATCTCCTCCATCCAGCCGGGCACCTTCCGCCACCTGCCCGCCCTCGAGGAGCTCGACCTGGGCGACAACCCGCACCTGCGGGCCCTGGCGCCCGACACCTTCCACGGCCTGCGGCGCCTGCAGGCCCTGCACCTCTACCGGTGCCGCCTGGCCAGCCTGCCCAGCGCCATCTTCCGCGGCCTCCACAGCCTCCAGTACCTCTACCTGCAGGAGAACGGGCTGCTCTACCTCCAGGTGCGGGCACGGGGGCACCCGGATGGGCGGGTGTGGGGCAGGGGGTGTCCGTGGGGCAGGGATGAGATGCCCGTGGGGCGAGGGAGCCGGGTGTCTCCTTTGGGCAGGTCGCATGGGGCAGGGGGATGAGGGATGATCACGGAGATCATCATGGAGATGACACCCTCAGGACAAGGCGCACAGGGATACAGGGGGAATCCATGGGAGCTGGGGAGGACGCTCCCGGAGCAGGGATGCAGGAGGGTGCAGGGAAGCCGGGATGCAGGGCGAGACCTGCAGGGCAGGGGGACGTGTGTGGAGCAGAGGTGCAGGGGGTGCAGGCGTGGGGAACAAGGAGGCAGGAGGATGCGCAGGAGCAGGGATGCAGGAGGAGACCCACGGGCAGGACTGCAGGAGCAGGGATGCAGAGGGATGTGCATGGAACAGGGGATGTCCATGGGCCTGGTCCATGGGGCAGGGCTGCAGGGGGACATATGTGGGGCAGGGGATGCCCGTGGTGCCCGTGCCCACGGTGCCGTCTCTCTCTCTCTCTGTCCCGGCGACGCAGGACGACCTCTTTGCCGACCTGGCCAACCTGAGCCACCTCTTCCTGCACGGCAACCGGGTGCGGGCGCTGTCCGAGGGCGTCTTCCGCGGGCTGGCGAGCCTGGACCGCCTGCTGCTGCACGCCAACCGGCTGGCGGCCGTGCACCGGCGCGCCTTCCGCGGCCTCGCGCGCCTCACCATCCTCTACCTGTTCAACAACAGCCTGGCGGCGCTGCCGGGGGACCCGCTGGCCGCGCTGCCCGCGCTGCAGTTCCTGCGCCTCAACGCCAACCCCTGGGCGTGCGACTGCCGCGCGCGCCCGCTCTGGGCCTGGTTCCGCCGCACGCGCGTCTCCAGCTCGCCCGTGCTCTGCGCCAGCCCGCCGCAGCGCCGCGGCACC